ACACACACACACACACACACACACACACACACACACACACACACACACACACACACACACACACTAACACCCAGTCATTCCCTTATCGACTTACTCTCCTTCCATCCAAAGTAAGAAAACATGACCACCCATATTGGTGTCTGTGGTGTAGCGGTCAGGCGCTCCGATTCCGCACGCAGGAGATCAGAGTTCGATCCCCTTCTTGAAATAATTTTTATCAAGTATTTCGGCCTGTCTGCTTACAAGCTGTGTCCCTCTCGGCCTTAGTACGCCCTGACAGGCAGGGTCGAATTCGTGCACTCATGGTCTTATGCAGTTGCGAGCGCCGTAAAATCCTTACTTAACTAAAACTAAGGGTTGATGCCCGCCTGCTAAATGATCTAAATGGTGTCGGCTAAAGTGTAAAAACACCTACACCTAAAGTGTAAAAACACCTACACCAAAAGTGTAAAAACACCTACACCTAAAGTGTAAAAACACCTACACCAAAAGTGTAAAAACACCTACACCAAAAGTGTAAAAACACCTACACCTAAAGTGTAAAAACACCTACACCAAAAGTGTAAAAACACCTACACCAAAAGTGTAAAAACACCTACACCAAAAGTGTAAAAACACCTACACCAAAAGTGTAAAAACACCTACACCTAAAGTGTAAAAACACCTACACCAAAAGTGTAAAAACACCTACACCTAAAGTGTAAAAACACCTACACCAAAAGTGTAAAAACACCTACACCAAAAGTGTAAAAACACCTACACCAAAAGTGTAAAAACACCTACACCAAAAGTGTAAAAACACCTACACCTAAAGTGTAAAAACACCTACACCTAAAGTGTAAAAACACCTACACCTAAAGTGTAAAAACACCTACACCAAAAGCACAAAAATAGCCCTATTCACTTTCTTTCTTTGTATTTTCTCAAACGCTCGATTCCAACAAATATTCTTGGCCACTCCTTCCCTCAGCATAATCATCCAGACACCAAGTCCCCACTCTCAATACTGGATCTGTTCAACTATTGAAAATGTTTTGCATCAACTCTAGTCGTATTTCAAAGAAGTATCCTTGCATGTCAAATTATTTCCCATATGTATTTTGAGAATTTCAATAAGGACTCATATATCAGAGACGCTATGCCTACAGTACATGTATAATGTACATGTAGTTCTGTTTTGAAAGTGAACTAACACAGTTAGTAGCAGTCCTATAGCTGAATTAATATTGCACACGCAGCCTGCTAATGCCTGCCTGTAGTAAAATAAACCGCTTTGTTATCGATAGTTATTTGACTTCTAAAAAATGACAACGCTTTTGTACTCTTTTTGTAAAAGGATAAAAATGTTATTATTGTGTGAAGTGGGAAATCAATTTTGCGTTCTTTTATTTAGCCATACGCTTATTAAGTATTTTTCCAGGGGTTTCCCACATGTCACCCACCAGTGGTGCAGTCATGTACTCTGTTTTTTCTAACTCCTTTTCAGTGATACGAGATACAGTTGTCCCAACCCATGCTCTGTTCAAACGTGACAGCGTATCGTGACATTTCGCATTTAGTTCCACCTCAGGAAATCCATTTATTTGATAACGATCTCTATTATGATCTCGCAAAAGAGAAGACATAAAAAAACTTCAAGATGAACATTTTGTTTAAAAAATGATTTTACAATTAAACAAAGGAACGCAGTCTATGATCTGTCCATTTTCACCAATGACGCAGGTTTCCATAACTCAACAGCACTCACCTACTATTACGAATGAGACTGACCATTGGACATATCTATTATTTATATCCTCTACAATGAACCGTCGAGATCTTCGGCATTCTCAGTATGAATAGAAAACGTGAACCCATCACAAATCCCACAGTGCCATGTAACAAATGTACCGTGCCGTATTTCAGAACGAACAACATCACTCTCCTGCTACTCGCGAGGGATTTGTGACTACACTTTCAAAAGCTACTGAACCCAGAAACAATTCAACTATCCTAATAGACAGATACGATAAAAAATCATAAAACAACGCTGCAGTACAATACGCGCAACGAAGCACAAAAGGATCCCACACAATCGATGCGAATAATTTACAGCTGAGCTCGTGCGTTTTAGTGTGAGGGCAGAGCAAACATACCTGGGCGCTACCTCGGGTGAAACGAACGATACGGCTACACAAACATGCCACTGACTCACTGGATCCGGTGTTCCTCACCTACTCCGTCTGCGGCCACTCTCGCTCGTTTTCTGTGCGCTACTATCAGCATATTATCAGGGAAGGGCTAGGCTCCCACATGCGCGCACGACGCCCTTATCTTTTATAGAGCTCTGCTCTGACCTCCCACAAAGGTCAACTCACCGCCATTTCGGCTGCTTCACGTCATGTCTACTACCCACGTTCTTTCCTCTTCTCTTTTTTTCTCTCATTTTTCATTGTCGGCGTTCTTCCTCTGGAGCCAATCCTCCTCAGAGATCCAATTCTTTATACCTGTTAATCTTGATTGACGTTCAAAATTAAGTCACGCCGGTCACAAATATCCAATTTTTACTAACTCCTGCTTTAGAATAATTCCGTAATCTCTTTCTTTCAACCCGACATTCACCTCTCTCTCTCTCTCTCTCTCTCTCTCTCTCTCTCTCTCTCTCTCTCTCTCTCTCTCTCTCTCTCTCTCTCTCTCTCTCTCTCTCTCGCACACACACACACAAGCACACACACAACAACCCACACACAGGGTCAAAGTCTGACAAACCAACCAACCAACCAACCAACTAACCAACCAACCAACCAACCAACCAGCCACCCATCCCCACATGCTGTGACACAACCACTAGTCCACTTCAATTACCTCCCCGCACCCGCTCCTGGTAATTTCCCATGCCCACGACCGGGCTCCAGAAGTGAGTTGGCGCGTGCCTATCACGAGATAGAATTTGAATAAAAGAGGGATTAGTCGCGCTTTTCGGAGTCTCAGGGGTTGTTTTCAGATTACGACACCCTGGCCAAGACTTTGGGACCAGAAAAGAAAGCATCTCTCTCTCTCTCTCTCTCTCTCTCTCTCTCTCTCTCTCTCTCTCTCTCT